CTGTTGGTAGGTGCTATGTTATCATTGGCTGTTACTGCTAAACACCATGACTACTGTTGGTAGGTGCTCTGTTATCATTGGTTGTTACTGCTAACCTCTAATCACCATGGTCCCTATTAGAAAAGTCTATTGACATATATATATATATATATGGCTGTTAATCACCATGATTGCATTTGTTAGATTATCTTTTGTCTAAATTTTGCTGTAATTACTAAACACCATGATTGATACAGGTGTTTTCTCTGCTGGCAGTGACTGCCTTGGAAATTACATTGCAAAATGAAAAAGTTAAATAGAAAAGGTATACAAAATGTACAATGATATCTTTAAAGTCATATTGTCAGTATTTAGACTATCATCATTTGTCAAAAAGTATCCTTTCTTACATAAATCTTTGCAGACCTGAAATTGTGGATGATGATGAATTCTGTATTCACATTGAAAATGGGCGACATCCAATAATCCAACAGTTGATTGGCGAGCATGAACAGTATGTCCCTAATCATACCAGGTTGTCTGTAAGTACTAAACCATACTAGGTTGTCTGTAAGTACTAAACCATACCAGGTTGTCAGTAAGTACTAAACCATACCAGGTTTTCTGTAAGTACTAAACCATACCAGGTTGTCTGTAAGTACTAAACCAAACAGGATTGTCTGTAAGTACTAAACCATACCAGGTTGTGTGTAAGTAATAAACAACACCAGGTTGTCTGTAAGTACTAAACCATACCAGGTTGTCTGTAATATTAAACCATACAACGTTGTCTATAAGTACTAAACCACACCAGGTTGTGTGTAAGAACTAAACTACACCAGATTGTCTGTAAATACTAACCCACACCAGATTGTCTGTAAGTACTAACCCATATCAGGTTGTCTGTAAGTACTAAACCATATCAGGTTGTCTGTAAGTACTAAACAACACCAGGTTGTCTGTAAGTACTAACCCACACCAGATTGTCTGTAAGTACTAAACCATATCAGGTTGTCTGTAAGCACTAAACCATACCAGGTTGTGTGTAAGAACTAAACTACACCAGGATGTCTGTAAGTACTAAACAACACCAGTTTGTCTGTAAGTACTGAACTACCCCAGATTGTCTGTAAGTCCTCACCCACACCAGGTTGTCTGTAAGCACTAAATCCCACCAGGTTGTATGCAAGTACTAAACCATAGCAGATTGTCTGTAAGCACTAAACCATACCAGGTTGTGTGTAAGAATTAAACTACACCAGATTGTATGTAAGTACTAAACCAAACCAGGTTGTCTATAAGTACTAAACCACACCAGATTGTCTGTAGGTACTAACCCATATCAGGTTGTCTATAAGTACTAAACCACATCAGATTGTCTGTAAGTACTAAACCACACCAGGTTGTCTGCAAGTACTAAACCATATCAGGTTGTCTGTAAGTACTGAACTACACCAGATTGTCTGTAAGTACTCAACCACACCAAGTTGTCTGTAAGTACTAAACTACACCAGGTTGTCTGTAAGTACTAAACCATATCAGGTTGTCTATAAGTACTAAACTACACCAGATTGTATGTAAGTACTAAACCACACCAGGTTGTCTGTAAGTACTAAACTACACCAGGTTGTCTGTAAGTACTAAACCATACCAGGTTGTCTATAAGTACTAAACCATACCAGGTTGTCTGTAAGTACTAAACCATATCAGGTCGTCTGTAAGTACTAAACTACACCAGGTTGTTTGTAAGTACTAAACCACACCAGATTGTCTATAAGTACTAAACCATACCAGGTTGTCTATAAGTACTAAACCATACCATATTATTTCTCTGACGTTTGTTTCTTTAATTTTGAGATCACAATTTCTTGTTTACAGCTCCTCTCTCTGTCTGTTTGTCTGATCATCTGTCTGTCTGTCTGATCATCTGTCTTTTTGTCTTTGGATAAAAACTTGTCAAGATAACTCCTTCTAACCTAGTGATTTAAACAAACTTTATATGTATGATCAGTATATTGTGAAGTTGCACACCTGCCATCTACATAAATGGGGCAGCGATAACCAAGTGGTTAAGGCGTCTGACATTCTAGATCTACTGCCACTAGCCGTCCACCACCGGGTGAGCCGTCCAGTACCACTGGGTGAGCCCTCCACCACCAGGTACTGGCCGTAGGTTGGTGGTCTTTCTCCGAGAACTCCGGCTTTCCTCCACCACCAAACCCTGGCACGTCCGTCAATGTCCATAGCTCTTATAAACAACAAACAAACAAACAGCCGTCTATATATCATTTTCTACTTCTTTCTCAGAGTTTTTGCCCCTTTGTACTTCATTTTAAGACCTGTTCAGACAAATTTTCCAAATTTATGCAACAAATTTCAATGAAGTTTCTGGGAGTGAAACAGGTGTAAACTTAACATCAAATGCCCCAAAGTGTCAAACTTTAATAGGAAAGTTAAGTATTGCAAAAACGAGGAAAAGAACTGTTTAGTTAATTATATTCTCTGTATTTGCTTGTTTATTTTGCAGAGAGAATCTGATAGAGTGATGATTATTACGGGGCCAAACATGGGAGGGAAAAGTTCCTACATCAAGCAGGTAGCACTGATCGCAGTCATGGCCCAGATTGGGTCTTACGTTCCTGCCGAATCAGCCAGGCTAGGGATTCTAGATGCTGTTTACACAAGGTAATGATGGGAACCTGGTTGTTTATATCAACACTGGGAGCCAAGGACAGTTGATCAAACTTCACTAATGTCATGGAATGATCAATAAAACTTGTATAACTTTGTTCCCTCATTTCTACACTGAATTACAGAAGAATGTGTTTGTAAAATGTCAGCTAAAAAATAAAGTTAAGATATGCGTGATATAGGAGCAGATACGATTTTCCAAACGATATCTAAAGGTGAAATTATTTGTGTAGAATGGGAGCCTCCGATGAAATCTACAGCCGACGAAGTACCTTTATGGTAGAACTACAGGAAGCGTCAGACATCATAGCCAATGCTACCGACCGATCCCTCGTCATACTGGATGAACTAGGTCGGGGGACGAGTACTCACGACGGAACAGCCATTGCACTTGCTACACTTGACTACTTCATTCAAAAGGTCTGTAATCAAACTATCAACCGCCTTCTCTTGATAGTCATGTGGACTTAATAATGTGTAGCATCCTGATGCAGTTGTGTACTTATAGACTTTTCAGTTTTTGGGGGGGAAAAAAATACCACAGAGAAAGACCCAGTAAAGCCACTGCTTACAGTTCTGATTTGTTCTCCTGTTTTTAAAGAGAAAATCCTTCAATTGCTTTCATCAAAATCAAAAAAGTAAGAAATGTCAGCTTTGAAAATAAAGTTTTGAACTGTTTGTAATAATTGGTCCCTTTGAGATACTGAATAATTTAATCTAGCTAATACTGGATCTACCACATGGGTTTTGTTTTCTCTTTAGAAATTTGCCAAATTATCCTCATTGAAAATCAAGATGACTGAACTAAGGTTTAGCTATAAATGTTTTCAGGGCACACAACCCGACAGTGCTTGTTACGATAACAGTCCAGGTGCCTATGGTCTAACTCACACTTGTAACAGATACCATATACTACACAGTAGTTCCAACATTGAAGAGTATGTATGTGGCTGTTATGGGCACTAAAACTAGTTTCTCCGTGTTGTCGACTATGAAGATTCCACTTCGATGTAAGGACAGAAACAGAAACTTGATTGATATCATTTTCAGTGTCTTCAACCTTATGGTAATATAATCTTGTTTTACTTTACAGGTCAAATGTCTGTGCCTGTTTGTGACCCATTACCCAATGCTGTCTGAGTTTGAACACAAGTTTCCGGGGATAGTCCAAAACTTCCACATGTCTTTCTTCTTGGATGATGAAGAAGGTAAATAAATCATTAATGAAAGTGATCCTAATTAATAACACTAGATTGTAAGTAGATAGTGTTTCCATTGAAATTCTTACTCATAAGATGAGGTGTAAACAATTGGAATACTTAATGTGGGATAAACACATAACTATGAAAGTATAGAGGTACTTTAAATTTGAACCTTAATTTTCAAATGCTGTATAAAAGATAATATAAAATTTGAAGACTTTGGATCTCTAGCTCAAATCGCAAGTATAATGGGTGAGGTATATAGCATATAACCTTAACAATAATATACGAATCAAAGGTATCATATGTAAGGTAGCATAAAACCTTAACAGTAATATACAAATCAAATGTATTATATGTAAGGTAGCATAAAACCTTAACAGTAATATACGAATCAAATGTATTATATGTAAGGTAGCATAAAACTTTAACAGTAATATACGAATCAAATGTATAATATGTAAGGTAGCATAAAACCTTAACAGTAATATACAAATCAAATGTATCATATGTAAGGTAGCATATAACCTTAACAGTAATACACGAATCAAAGGTATCATATGTAAGGTAGCATATAACCTGAACAGTTATATACAAATCAAATGTATAATATGTAAGGTAGCATATAACCTTAACAGTTATATACAAATCAAATGTATAATATGTAAGGTAGCATATAACCTTAACAGTAATATACCAATCAAAGGTATAATATGTAAGGTAGCATGTAACCTTAACAGTAATATACGAATCAAAGGTATAATAATGTAAGGTAGAATATAACCTGAACAGTTATATACAAATCAAAGGGATAATGTGTAAGGTAGCATATAACCTTAACAGTAATATATGAATCAAAGGTATAATATGTAAGGTAGCATATAACCTTAACAGTAATATACCAATCAAAGGTATAATATGTAAGGTAGCATATACCCTTAACAGTAATATACCAATCAAAGGTATCATATGTAAGGTAGCATATAACCATAACGGTAATATACCAATCAAAGGTATCATATGTAAGGTAGCATATAACCTTAACAGTTATATACAAATCAAAGGTATAATATGTAAGGTGGCATATAACCTTAACAGTATTATACGAATCAAAGGTATAATATGTAAGGTAGCAATAAAACCTTAACAGTAATATACAAATCAAATGTATTAAATGTAAGGTAGCATAAAACCTTAACAGTAATATACAAATCAAATGTATTATATGTAGGGTAGCATAAAACCTTAACAGTAATATACGAATCAAAGGTATAATATATAAGGTAGCATATAACCTGAACAGTTATATACAAATCAAATGTATCATATGTAAGGCAGCATATAACCTTAACAGTAATATACGAATCAAATGTATCATATGTAAGGTAGCATATAACCTTAACAGTAATATACCAATCAAAGGTATAATATGTAAGGTAGCATGTAACCTTAACAGTAATATACGAATCAAAGGTATAACATGTAAGGTAGCATTTAACCTTAACAGTAATATACGAATCAAAGGTATAACATGTAAGGTAGCATTTAACCTTAACAGTAATATACGAATCAAAGGTATAATATATAAGGTAGCATATAACCTGAACAGTTATATACAAATCAAAGGGATAATGTGTAAGGTAGCATATAACCTTAACAGTAATATACCAATCAAATGTATCATATGTAAGGTAGCATATAACCTTAACAGTTATATACAAATCAAAGGTATAATATGTAAGGTGGCATATAACCTTAACAGTATTATACGAATCAAAGGTATAATATGTAAGGTAGCAATAAAACCTTAACAGTAATATACAAATCAAATGTATTATACGTAAGGTAGCATAAAACCTTAACAGTAATATACAAATCAAATGTATTATACGTAAGGTAGCATAAAACCTTAACAGTAATATACAAATCAAATGTATTATACGTAAGGTAGCATAAAACCTTAACAGTAATATACACATCAAATGTATTATATGTAAGGTAGCATAAAACTTTAACAGTAATATACGAATCAAATGTATAATATGTAAGGTAGCATATAACCTTAACAGTAATATACAAATCAAAGGTATCATATGTAAGGTAGCATATAACCATAACGGTAATATACCAATCAAAGGTATCATATGTAAGGTAGCATATAACCTGAACAGTTATATACAAATCAAATGTATAATATGTAAGGTAGCATATAACCTTAACAGTTATATACAAATCAAAGGTATAATATGTAAGGTAGCATATAACCTTAACAGCAATATACGAATCAAAGGTATAATATGTAAGGTAGCAATAAAACCTTAACAGTAATATACAAATCAAATGTATTATACGTAAGGTAGCATAAAACCTTAACAGTAATATACATATCAAATGTATTATATGTAAGGTAGCATAAATCCTTAGCAGTAATATACGAATCAAATGTATAATATGTAAGGTAGCATATAACCTTAACAGTATTATACGAATCAAAGGTATAATATGTAAGGTAGCAATAAAACCTTAACAGTAATATACAAATCAAATGTATTATACGTAAGGTAGCATAAAACCTTAACAGTAATATACATATCAAATGTATTATATGTAAGGTAGCATAAATCCTTAGCAGTAATATACGAATCAAATGTATAATATGTAAGGTAGCATATAACCTTAACAGTTATATACAAATCAAAGGTATAATATGTAAGGTGGCATATAACCTTAACAGTATTATACGAATCAAAGGTATAATATGTAAGGTAGCATATACAGGTATATCCTTAGCTCTAACACCAACCACTGTTATGATTTGTGATTTAAAACTTTAACTCTAATACAAAGCACAAGTATAAAGCATATACAACAATCCTTCTGGTGTAGAGATCGTCGGAGAGACTGAACAGGCAGTAAACGAGACTTCAGCAATAGAATCCATCACATTTCTGTACCAGTTAGTGGTGGGCGTGGCTGGGCGGAGTTATGGCCTCAATGTCGCACGACTAGCTGGCATTCCACATGACATCATCCAGCAGGGGGCATGTCAGTCAAAGTACCTGGAAGCCAAAATCATGGAAAGGAGGTGAATTAATATTTTGAAAACATGTTTATATGTGAAATAACATTGTCAGGCTTATTATTAGTATTGTTGGTTTGAAATTGTGTTTTCATGATTATGATGTTCCCATTATAAAAGTATACCTGCTCTGCACTTCTTTATGATTAAATATAATGAAAATCAATCCCAATTCTGCAATTCTATTTGATAAAATGAAAGGTCCGTCCTTACAGTCAAATTGTATCTCACATTCAAATCTCCAAAGAAACAACTAAGCATGCCTGTTAGAAATATTTTTGATGAAGTAAGTGCTGTTCTGTCTTTGCAGAGAGCAGTTAAAGTTGTTCCAAGCAATGTTTACATGCCCGAAGACCGAGATGGCAGATATTTTACAGGAACTACAGAAAAGTGAAGACCAACAGATGTCATCCTCTACTTAATAGGACCGTTCTGGTTCCTGTACTGAACACAACACCTGTCCCTGTACAAGATTTATGCCTGTCCAATTCTTTATGTCGTACCCAACACTGTTACACCGTGACATTTGATGAGTAGAACAGCCTGGTGATCTTCATCAGAAGGGAGGCTATTCAGGGAAAGAAAAATTGTGCCTTTAAACAGTAAAGCCATCCTGCTGACATCACTACTAAATCTACGGCTGGAATAACCCTTCATAATATTATAATAATATTACTTGTCCTATGAAAACATTTTAATGATGTGATTTAGAATTGAGTTCAATGTGATAGAACTCTTTTGACATTAATGCAATAATATTGAAGTTCAAATGAAAAAGAAACATAATCATGAATATTAACATTGACAATTAAATTAAGAACAGATATTTTGCATGTGGTTTTAGTTCTATCTACCTCAAGTTTATATCTTAATGACAAGTTTCATTAATCATATTTTGGGGAGGATTTATACTGGTCCAGTGTATGAGCAATTCAAAGAAATTTTCTGATATTGTTACTCTTGTGTCCAGCAACAGTTCTAGAGTGGAGGGGACATACATACGTGTTTGCCTTTTCTGTCAGTCTGTATACATCAGGGTCAGAATAATAATAATGATATACAACATTTATATAGCGCCCTATATATCACTTTTAAGGGTCCAGCCTTTTGGTATTCCGTCTTTGGGTATTGCAGAGTTATCTTCTCTTGGGAGCAGGTATTGATTGTTACGTCACTTGTTTGTGCGCCAAAATTACGTCGTTTTCTCAAAAATTGATGACGTTACTCTCACAAACAAGTGACGTAATAATCAATCCCTGCTCCCAAGATAAGATAACTCTGCAATATGCAAAGACGGAATACAATAATACAAATCATAATGAATGTGTAAAAGCATAACATTTTGAAAACTACAGTAACTTCTTTTTTTAACTGGAGTATCTACCTGGTAAACTGTCATATTTCTATCTTTGTAAGGACAATATTTTCTGTGTAAATGTAGAGATGTATTACTGTTATGAGATATCCATGTTTGTTTATACATTCTGGAATGCATTGATGTGCAGATGATTGTATTGGTACCGAATAAACATAATGGATTTTAATTTTGTTCCGGTTTGTTATTTACCTCACCTAGCATAAAATGCGTGTTTTAGTTTAATAATTATACAATGGCCTGCAATCCTGTTTAAACCTTTATAGACTCCTTCTACAAAAATAGGCCTGTAGACATGATGTGATATGTGGTCTGTAGCTGGCTTGGGTGGAAGGCTATCAAATTAACCTTAATTGGGCATGCCTTGACCAATTTTCAAGGAATAAAAAGGAGGAATAATGTCACGTGAGGTGTCTCCATCTGTCCATGGTGATGTTTTGGATGATAACCTGAGAACGATTGATCATACAAAGTTCAAACTTGGTGTATGGGTTGCTCTAGTGTGCTTAAGAACAACCCTATAGATTTTGGGCATGGTCTAGCAGAGGTCAAAGTCGACGTCACCATTGTTAAAAATAGAATTCTGTCTGGTTGGGCTTGTCCGGATGATAACTTGAAAATGAATGACCATACCATATTCAAACTTGGTGTGTGGATCACCTTAGTAGATGCAAAGAACTCTGTCAGTTTTGGGCATGGATTCGCCAGCAGTTAAGGTCACCATTGCTAAAAAAAGAATTCCGTTTGGTTATAGGCTTTCCAGATGATAAATTGAGAACAATTAAATGAACATTAAAATAGTTCAAACTTGGTACATTGGTTACCAAAGTAGACGTTATGAACGCTATTGATTCTTGGTGTGGTCCACCAGAGGTCAAGACCACTGTTGCTGAAAAAATCTGCTTGGTACGGATTTAGGTTGCCCTATCTAATTCCGTGGTAGCTCTGACGACGCAATATATAAAAAAAACTCTCGTTGTTGGAAAGCTACGTTATCGCAGCTAATCTGTGCCTGTTGGTTCATACCCTAAGTTTCATATTTAAAAAAAAAAAAAATCAAACAAGATACAATTTAGACATCAAAATGTTTTTGATGCATGGGTTCATTTTTTTGGCAGTTTTTTAAAAAAATACCAAAATGTTACACATTAGACTGTCTCAATGTGTTGTAGTAGATCGATGTTATTATATAGAAACTTTTCAATTATAAGCCAGATAAGATGCAGGCGGGACAATCATCCTTAATCATTTTGACACATACTGAAGCGTTTTAACGATCGAGAAAATCGCACAAACGCTTCAAAGGGCGAACCGAAAGTACGGCAAAGGGAAAACGATTTTTCACCTATTTTTGGATAAGATGCCACTTCTTTTGAGATGACTACTGCGTTTGATTAATACAATTTGGTGGTAAGTTTTTCCAAAAATATATTTTGTATCACTCTGTATAAGTATTTCTCTATTCTGGTTAGTTTGTAACAAGGCGAGGAATCCAACTTTCGTTTGTAACAAAAACCACTGTAACGTTGCTACAGTACAGTAACGTACGTTGTGGACTAATGCGTAATGGGAAGTTCTGTAAAGTTAATTGAAGCATTTTGGAGATATTTTCGGACAGTTTCGTCCCTTACATGAAGTTTAAATATATCGTGTCAATCACTGCCATGCAATTTATGTCAATGGTAAATTCTTGCTATGAGTTCTTAAAATAGATCGGGGAATTCCTTTCATGTGTTGGAAAATAATTGGGAGTTTATAGTTTGGCTGTTGTCGTATGGAGCTACTCGTTGGATGAGTCAGTTTTGATTTGATCAGGTGTTTGTTCATGTACAAATAAACTTTGAAGGTATGTATACATTACTTAGGCCTAAGTTAAATGTGCCGCTGTGCTTCTTCCCTATAATGAGGATGGTGGTGATTAGTGTATAGACAGTTCCTAATCCAGAGTACAGAGCAATTGTATCAGATTATCTTGACAAGCTTGTCAAAAATGTCTAACTAAAAGTTGAAAGGGCAGTATTAATGGGTTTTCTACTTGGAGGGTCAAGCTGTCTGAGAAGAACTATTAAGAGAAGAGAATGAATAAGTAAAAAATCATTGTATTACTAAGATCATTTATTAAAAACATGTACAAAGAGAAATATTATTATAAGGAGTCCTGGTGACAGAAGCAGAAATTCTTCAAAGCTTAAAGAAGATATTTTCTCAGGAGAAAGTCTTCAAAAGTATTTTATTGACAATACATATTTAAAACAAACATGTAAGTTGAATATATTAAATAAGATATTAGTACAATATCGACAAAAGAATCAGACAACAGGCTAAGCCTATATCAGTCTTCTTCTATTTCCAGTACAGTAGTCAGTTAAGCTATATATATATAGTGATTAAATATAAAGAATGTTGTTTGTAGTCTCCCTCTCTCATACACATGCACACCCATACCCACACTAGCTCATATTTTTGTAATAATTATTGTCTAAAGGGCAAAACTTGCCTGAATAATAATAATTTAATTACAGTATTTGGTATTTCACTAACATGCATACGTAAAGAAACATTTCAATAATTTAATAAAGAGATAACAGCGCGAGTGTCTATCTATCTGTCAAAATGTCTAAGTCTAGTGTCAGGGCCAGAGGAAGCTTGGGCTATATGTATAATACTAGTATTAATTGGTCTGATGCGCATTACTAATATCATATAATAAACAGTGCAGATTTAAATATCCTAATAGATTATAAATAAAGGTAATATGATTTCTAATATTTGAATACAAAGGACATTGATAGAAAAAATGTATTAATTCTTCCTTCTGTGCACCACATACACAAGAAGCATCATCAATCAGATAACATGTATTTAGGGAAAGGATAAAGAAGAGTCGTGAGTCTTGAGAGTTATTGTTGGAATCATGGTCCCTTCGCAAAACAGAATACTGCAATGTCTCCAGCACACACACTAAGACAATCACACAATTTAGATCATGCAGTCATCAAACTGTAATGACAGTATAAGTCGAATACATATAGATGTGCTGTAATGTGTCTAAGAGTGTCTTAATTCTGGCTCCACAGGCAGGGCTAGACAATAAGGGTAGCCTGATAGTCTGAGACTAGTGACACAGGGCTAGACAATAACGGTAGCCCGATAGTCTGAGACTTGTGACACAGAGCTAGACAATAAGTGTAGCCCGATAGTCTGAGACTAGTAACACAGGGCTAGACAATAAGGGTAGCCTGATAGTCTGGGACTAGTGACACAGGGCTAGACAATAAGGGTAGCCTGATAGTGTGAGACTAGTGACACAGGGCTAGACAATAAGGGTAGCCCGATAGTCTGAGACTTGTGACACAGAGCTAGACAATAAGTGTAGCCCGATAGTCTGAGACTAGTGACACAGGGCTAGACAATAAGGGTAGCCCGATAGTCTGAGATTAGTGACACGGGGCTAGACAATAACGGAAGCCTGATAGTCTGAGACCAGTGACACGGGGCTAGACAATAAGGGTAGCCCGCTAGTCTGAGACTAGTGACACGGGGCTAGACAATAACGGAAGCCTGATAGTCTTAGACTAGTGACACGGGGCTAGACAATAAGGGTAGCCTGATAGTCTGAGACCAGTGACACGGGGCTAGACAATAAGGGTAGCCCGATAGTCTGAGACTAGTGACACAGGGCTAGACAATAAGGGTAGCCCGATAGTCTGAGACTAGTGACACGGGGCTAGACAATAACAGAAGCCTGATAGTCTGAGACTAGTGACACAGGACTAGACAATAAGGGTAGCCCGATAGTCTGAGACCAGAGACACGGGGCTAGACAATAACGGAAGCCTGATAGTCTGAGACTAGTGACACAGGGCTAGTCAATAAGGGTAGCCTGATAGTCTGAGACCAGTGACACAGGGCTAGACAATAAGGGTAGTCCGATAGTCTGAGACTAGTGACACAGGGCGAGACAATAAGGGTAGCGCGGGGGGGATAGTCTGAGACTAGTGAGTCAGTAGTGACACAGGGTTAGACAATCAAGATAGCCCGATAGTCTGAGACAAGTGAAAATTTCCAGCTGGACTAGTGGTTCTAAAAACCACTAGCCTGGTTGACTGTAGTCAAAATTTGATATTGCTTATCCTGTTGAATATTTTTGGGTTAGTGGAATATGTACATGGACTAATAAAGATTAGAAACTATGTATACTACCCCAATACACTAGTGGTATATCAAATTCTGCATAATAGAAATATAACCAGTAAAATATAGATTATATATCTATTAAATTACTGAGATTGTATAAATTATCTTGACCACCCTTCTCATAAGAGACTTGCCTATTTATCATATTGGCCACCTTTTCTTTTTTGTTCTGCTAGATGATCTTATCACCCTTCCTCATTATGGATAGAAATGCAAATTACCATGATAAGCGTGTACTGGAGTATCTAGTGTATTACAGTATTTGACAGAGAAGTGCTATGTACAAATTAAATGATCACTGGATTTCAAACTTATTATTCAGATGTATGTTTTTAAGTGTTTATATTAACTTTGGAAACTTAAAATGAAATGACTGTCCGGTTTTGAAAAGTTTCAATATTTTTGCTCACATTATTCAAGGTCAGTGTGTCAGATTTCGTTTTGTTGTTTATATTCTTGCTATATTGAGATAGAATTTGGAATTCTTGGGAAGTGAGAAACAAAAGTCTACAATATTACATTGCTATGTAAACTGTGAAGACATCCTTGATAGGAAGTTGATTGAAGACCATGTGACCAATTAATCATCATCAAAAAACTAATTGTTTCCTTTCAAATGTATGCTTCAGAGATTGAGAGATTTTTACTGCTGTAAATATTGTATGAAGTATTCTTCCCTAGAAATCAGTAATATCACACCCTCCTATGAAATGGATGCATCATTTGTTATTGGTTTTTTTTTTCAGAAAACATGGAGGGTGTTCAAGAGTTGCTAAGAGGAATTCAAGAAACTTTAAATCAACATGGGAAACTTCTAAAGAGCGATAACAAAAAAATTAATAGTATTAATCAAAGGGTAAAAAATATAGAACATCAGATATATGCTTTTCAAGACGCTACGTCAACCGCTCTAGACTATGTACAAGAAGATTGTCAAAATATTTTGGACAATACAGTTGATTTACAGTCCAAAGCGAAAAGGTCAAGTCGCCTCATAAAGAATCTTGGTAGCGGCTTAAAGCTGCCAATGGATTATGTGTCTGACTCAGACAACAGTTTTGTGAGACGGAGTAATCCAGGTCACTATGGGAATCGTCGTAGTAAACCGATGAGACGGACTCCAGAACATCAAGGTAACTATTGAGTAATCTTGTTATTCCTGTAGTCTTTTCTCCTTATTTGTTATACCAGTTTTTCTCGAAGCTTTTCCTAAGGGTCTTACTAAAAATTACTTTCACACCATTATTGTGTATGTGCAATTTTGAGCCTACAAATAGAACTTTCTTAGTTTATTTTGGGGCAAAAATTTGGTCCCATTCCTAATGAAAAATATTTTTTTCACAAAATCTCTTCAAAATTACCCAATTCCCNCCCCCCCCCCAAAAAAAAACACCCCAATCATCGGAAATTTAATTAAAACATCTAACAACTGAAAGGAAATGCTGTCCAATATAGATAATGTTGATTGTTGTCTTTGAGAGGAGACCTTGAATATGTTTAAAGAGTAATTAAGTGGTAGACCTTCACAAACACCAAGCTGATATATGTCTATGATTTTTGCCAGCTAATATGTCAATTAATTTCCCCAGTTGACATCAGGGACCTTCTTTTACAATTCGCCCAGAACAAGCTGTCTTTAAGCTGTTTTAGCATTTTATACACATTTTCTACACAAATAAAGACAGACAGATTGATTATTATAGTTTCCCCGTGTTATAATACTCGACATCGGCATGCTCATTGCTGGTATATATTACAGTAACCTTTTAGCTGCAATTATCAGGAAATCATATAGATCATTGCAGTTTATTAATTAAGCCCAACAAATTTTATTTTTCACACATCAAAATCAAATGTGAAACCATTCTTGCCCATGTCATTCAATCATAAGTCCAACATGAATGAATCAATTTCTAGAAAGGGGACACATATATGACTGCAATCAGGGATTTTTGTTTGCCTAGTTTGACAGCCGAACACAGGCTGTTTCCCAAAGGAAAATGTGCATTGATTTCCCAAAATCAAGAAAAAAAATCTGAGTTCAGTAAAACTAATGCTTTATTTTCTCAAATCACGTGAGAACAGATTATTGTAAAATTTTAGTAGAAAAGACACTGGCAATATTTGTGTATATGTGGTTTATTTCAGTGATTCAGAAGCCATTCAGTACTCCTGGGTCGGACAGTGACAGTGAAAATGACTTTGAGATAAATCCTAGAGTGGTTAATGGACCGCTGATTGGTGACCACCATCTACTACCCAGTGGCCACAATGACCAAACTCGAGGAGAGTCATATGACCAGTCCCGAGGGGAGTCCCGTGTCACAGAAGAAGTGCCCACAACAGTACCACCCATGCATGACATGGAAGGTGATATCAAGGCACTTCAATCTGCAGGTCACTCCATCCATCAACCTGGAGATCGACCCGCACCTACTCCTGGACAACCAGCAAACTTGTCTGGACAGACCATACCTACATCGTCTACCTCAGGTTTACTTATGTCAGCCACCTCTAGCACCAGGTGTAAGGACCTTTCCAGCTCCCTAAGTTCCAACAGTTCCACAAACCAAAATGAAATTCTGGCTTCCCAGATATCATCCGAGTCAAATATGTAAGTGATCACCATAGACATATTTAACTATTTGTCTTTTGCGTAATATAGTTATCTCCCCTGTACCTGGTCACTAGGCAATATCATGGAATTTTCCATTTTGGTTTTAAATTCAATTTATTAGTGAACTTTTTAGGTCACCTGAGCTTTGCTCAAGTGACCTATTCCAATCGCTTTTCGTCCGTCGTCGTCCGTCGTCCGTCGTGCGTCGTGCGTAAACTTTTACATTTTCAACTTCTTCTCAAGAACCAGTGGATGGATTTTTTTCAAACTTGGTCAGAATCATCCTTGGTAGATGAGGCTTCAAAATTGTAAAATTGGGATTCCTACCCCGACCCCTGGGGCCAGGGCGGGGCCCCAAAGGGAAAATTA